AATGTGAAAGCAAATGCTTTCTTTGTATCGAATTTTTATTTATACATTATGTAAAAGATTGTGTATACTTTCAATATTTCTTTGATCACACATCTTATACCTGAATACTGTGCTGCAAAAACTTGAAAAGTTTGCGTTTTCTCATTAAAATAATTTTCTCATAATGATGCGTATATAGAAAATTGATTTTACGTTTTTCCCATTAATCCATTAATGAACTTCTCTTCTTCGTTTTTTACTCAACATCATTGACTCGATGTAACCTGAATATTTGTGCGGCATTTTCTAATTCATCGAAAGGTTTAAATCAATAGGTATATTTCAAAAGGAATTACATCATATAACGATATTATGGTACGTATAGTCTATTGAGCTTCGATACAGCAAGCTAATGCTTTGGAAGAATGTTGTGCATTGTTTGTAGTTCTGATTACGGATAAAGTCATCTATCATCAATATTTGAAAGTCATCTTTATTTTAGAATCCATTTTATTTATGGGATTGATCTCTTTTTGCGGCTACTTTCCTTTCTCAATCTATATACTAGATAAAACCAGTTGGAAGTTTAATAACATTACTCTTTATCTCTCTGTTGCGGTATTGAAACGGTAATCAAATTCAATGAAAGACGCCCTTTGATTTCATTCCCTTGATTAACAATTTAATTAAAAACGCTGTTTTGAATCTGATATAATTTGAAAAAGGGGCTGGTGTATTTCACGTCTGGTGTATTAATCGTCGATTTAATTACAGACAACTGTGAAAATTGTTCCCAATAGATTGTTGGTGTGTAATTCGACTTGTCATATTTGCTATTCGTCATTTGTCAAGTGAGCGCATTCACATGAATTCCAACTGTGTGCCTTCTTATAAATTCCTAAATTTTATTATTAGTTCTAGGATTTGAGATATTTTCAGAGTGGACGGCAATTTGTATACCATTTCATATTACCAAAATCATTTATTTTTGTTATATAAAAAATCAGGTCATTTGCATTTGTTTTGTCTTGTGGATCTCTGAAAATTTGAAAAATACTAATTTCAGCAAATTGACTTTGAAAAATGTAGATTGTTGCAACATTATACATAGAGATGCATACAACGTGTCAATTTATCAAAGTATGTGATAGCATTTGTTACATCTATGGTGGTCGGAGGATGAAAGCATGAAAATTACTCCATATGAAATTACCAGAATGTATTATGTTGCTGACGACACAGAAAACTCTAATAGAAAATCAACGAATATTCATTAATATAAGATTAAAATGTATAGATTTTATTTTTGCTTCAACTTCAAGAAAATTCGGATTTCATCAATATTGCATAATATTCAATGCGATGAGTTCCGCGTAGTGGTGTTGGCTAGGAAAAACTTGAAAATAATTCTGTGGAAAATGCGTCAACTGTAGCAAAACAACTTCCTATTGACAAAAATATTCTTCCATTCGTTTGACCAATCTGTCAGATTCATATAGCTTAATCGTTGCTCATGTGTTCCCAATACTACCTAGCTCATATGCTATAGCAATATTTGACGTTTAGAACTGTTGTGGAAACTTTGTTGGGAGCGCCGCCAAACATTAATTTCTGTAACTATACGTACGTGTGATAGTTAAGTCTTTGTGTGTACGTTCGTGTGAATGCAGTGATGATAAATGTGGACGAGACGTCACACTTATTTAGTACAATTCAGTTTGACAGCTAGAGAATACACTTTTACTTCTGACACTTGCTTTCATTCCGTTTATACCGTTACAACAGAACAGTCATTAAAGTCATATGTACACAACATTACATCATTCTTTTGTTTTATTTCATAATTAGTTTTCAGATTATTATTGAAGTTATTTCGATCAAGGCAAGTTAAATATCATACGGATAAAGGATATTCTACAGAATGAGTCTATGTGTGTGTTGTACACTGAGATGTTGATTCGTGCCGCCATTAGCAAACGTCGCATCCAACGTCGCATCATGTTCGGAGGCGCTATTAATATACTTTACTTCAATCGTCAACAAAATACATAGTGTATTTCTATTTTTTGTGTATTCCTTTAAACGGATGAATTACGGAGTCAACCTCTTGAAATGGGATGTTCTATAGGTTTATGTGTCTCTTGTATTTCTTGGTGTGGTATCTTCTACCGTATTATTCCAACAACCATAGCACTGAATCACAGCGCAATATTGCTTCGCAATTGTTGACACCGGTGTGTACTTAACGATATTTACGTAAGCGGAAATGAGTATGAAACAAATTTAAGTTGATGAGTGTTGCACTTTCAGTGATGGTTGAACTGAAGCGAGTGAGTTTTGTGTATTTTTGATGGGGAGGGATCGAAAAAGCAGTGAACACTTCATGAAAGACAGTTTGAGGCCCATGAGATGAGAGATGCAATTTATATAAATAACAAATTAATATACTATCAAAATACACGAAAAGGAAAACAGCGAATTCACCTAAGAGTCCGACATATTTTTTAATCTAGAGAAATGTTCATTTTTTGCGGTATGGTTTTTTATAAAACTTTCTCTATTTACATGAGAAAAATTGCATTCACACAATATTTTTTTATTGGAACAAGTTGCTCAAGTTCTCTTGAAATATTTTAACCAACTCATTTTGTTTACTAATAATGAGTAAATGTGTATCTTGGAGTGAAGGATAATTCAAATACCGTATGACATATACTAGTGTATCCTTTGAAAATGGTTGAGTGAATTTTCAAGAGAAGTAAGAATGAACGATTTTTTTGAACAAATTTTGTTTTCTTGAATTTCATTTGAAAAAAGAAAACAAACGAAATCGTTGTTATTTGTTCAGAAATCAGTGAATTGTACTGAAGAGGTGGTTCCAGAGTGGCAATTATTGACAAGCGAAAGGTGTCAAAAGTTGTTGTTCATAAATATACTATGATGCCAAAGAACAATTGGACAGAGGTCTATATGTGTAATTTTTAGTTTCAAATTGAAATGTTTGTAGCTCACTATTGTACTTATTAACCGTGGTACAGGGTGTTTTTTTTGTGGAAACCGATGTTTTTTTTCAGAAAAAATGGCGAAAATACACAAAAATCGTTAGTTTTGGTTTATTTTTGGTAAATTTGGACTTGTACAATTTGTTTGGTCACCTTTTCGCACAAAAATTCTGGCAAGGAGCCGGCATTGGCCCATTTGGCGTAAAAGTCCAGTTTTTGGGCGTTTCAGTACAAGTTCTTCGACATCTTCAGTTTCATCTGAACAAGAGCGTAACAGTCGTTATTATGCCACCAAAGCTACAGACGGTATTTGTGGGAAGCCTTTGAATAAAAAAAATCGTTCACAGTGCACTGTTTGTGTCATATGTGATGGCCATTGGCCCGCGTGTTCGAAAAACTGCCAGTTTCGGCCACTGGCGGCCATTGTGGCCTTAATAGCTGATGAGTCATGTTTTTTGCAATCAGAAATTGAAGATTTCGAACCAAATAATAATTTTTTTCAATAATCAGCGCGAAAAATCGAAGATTTTCTGAACGAAATGGCCGCAAACCGTCCAATTACGAAAATATACGATTTTGGCCAATAACTGAGCATTAGTGTTCGACGTCTTCTGGCTGGTTTTTGAATACCAGCCCTGAACCAAAAACTAAGAACAACAAGTTTAGGTCCCCAAGAGCTCTCGAAAACATTATCCGAAGCAAAATATTCATCTTATCGGTCATAATATTTGCAGAAGTAATCGAAAATGCCCAAAAACTGGACTTTTACGCCAAATGGGCCAAAGCCGGCCCCTTGCCAGAATTTTCGTTCGAAAAGGTGGCCAAACAAATTGTACAAGTCCAAATTTACCAAAAAATAAACAAAAACTAAAGCATTTTTTGTATTTTCACCATTTTTTCTGAAAAAAACATCGGTTACCACAAAAAAAAAAACACCCTGTATATGAGAAATATTCAGTGGTTGTATACAATTTTGGGCAGTATGAAGGACAATAACAAAAGGTTTATAATTTGCGAATCACGTAAGTTACCGTTTGCTTTGATAATGATTTGGATATGAAAAATTAAATTCACAATCTTTGTCAAATTTTAATCAGCTCCACATCTGTATTCTATTTTCGACTTCAATCATATTTACATTAAAGTGCGCACCGAAAAAAATGGCTGACGTTTGGGAAAACCATTCTTGGCAACAGCATCTTCTTACATAATCTCCTGTGAGTCTATGCTGTACCCATACACAGAAAATCTGACTTTTGCTATGCACAGCACACATTTTAATTGAATTAAACATCGGAAAAGTATCGAATGGCAGTGGAGTGTCCAATTTTCAGTGATGAATTAAATTACAGTAATTCACTGTACAATACCAACCAATCAACTAGCTTACAAACATATAAGCCTTAATTGGAATATACTTTCGTTCAACAAAGTGAAAATGTATGTTAAGGAAGTTGATATCGTTTGAAAATGGCTAACAAACAACATTTTTTGTACCCCAAAAATAATAAATTTCACAAATGAAAGTTATTCTCAAATTGTAATTGATTATACCAATATCAAGAATCACTTCATTATAAATGTTGAAGTTTTCGTACAAATGAATTAGTACCGCCGCCTTCAGTAGCTCGCGCGAAAACCGGTATAGTGCAGCATAGCACACCAATACCGACACAAAAAACCACACGCACACAGACACGAATGATATTTTGTCATAATCTGTTTTGAATGCTGTCGCTATTATTCTCGGAAGTTCTTTGCGAAACTCACTAGTGGCGCTACTACTATGCAATAGCTTGACTGTTCAACAACTAATACATTATAAGTGTATAAGAATATTCCGACTATGGATTATACGAACATAAGCAAGAACTTGAGACTCGGATGAAAACGTTTAGAGCAAAAACTCCGAGATCTCTATCAAAAGCATAAATTCATAATGTGTATTTCGTCCATACACTTTAGAATATTTATTCGAATGTTTAATAAAATTGAAGGAATGTTCATGAACAAACTTACCTTGAACTAATAAATCGATAATGGCCTCTGGACTATGTCGGTCGTTTACTAGACAAATATATTCGGCAGTATCAGTTGATAACGCTGGATGAAATTGTAAACTAAAGTCTTGCGGTGAGAGCGTCATCTGATTGAACAATAGAGAGAATATTTTGGAATTATAGATTGAATTGCGAATAAATCGAGCATGAATGAAAACGGTTATTTTGCGATGATGAGATTTTGTGTTTTGGTAAAATTGCGTACAGAATAAAAAATAATTCCTTTTACAAGGACGATATGATGACTATCCTCCGATAATAAATTGCCTATCCACTGTTTTTGTATAAATGCATGAATGCATAGTATATTTATTCATAATGCATGAAGCTGAAAAAAGTATTCCTCGCCGAAGCTGTTCACAAGAGCAAAATGTATTTACAATTCAACTTCAATATCAAAACATTGACAATACAATAGTTTTGTTTGAGTTGTTGTTTTTTCCGTGACCAAGTCGTTTTTCAAAGACTGGTATAGCATGGAGTATTGTTGCTGCCCATATGATACACACACAAATCAGAACAGAAGAAAAATAGCATAGTTGACCAAACATATACATGACTACGCTGTCTGGCTGCAGATTGTCAACGAATAAAGCAAAAATGGGCATATGAAATTAGTCATTCGTTATTCGTTCTGTTGTTTGCATTAATTTTCTAATGTATTTGTAGAAATCATTCGTTAGTTTGTTTTGCAATCTCATGGCATTTGTATTTATTTTCGAATGGTGAAACAGAGACGAGTCAACGACGATAAGGAATGGAAATAAAAGGGGACCGGACAAAAGACCGTGCAGTGGTGTAAGAGCAAACAACCAAAACGGAACAAAAGATGGTGGAAAAAAATATTGATTTATTACATTTTAGTCATTGTTTTTGATTTTTAAATCTGCATTTTATATGCTGCTCTCCACAGAAATAATGTACTCGAGCACGTTTGCATTTGTTTGTGCACGTCAGATTTGATTCCAATTCTACGTTAGTCCCCGTTTTGGTTTTTATGCTGTTTTTTCATTTGGGATTTCATGTGTCCGCACATTTTTCTTTCTTTCCTCGATAGCTTTTGTGCGTTGCATTTTCCCTGTTGGCTTTTGTACCATTAACTATTATTGCTTTTTGTGTCGTTGCAGAATCCAATTTATAGTAACACTGCAACATGTCATCAAGATAAGGATCTATGCGTTTATAAATGGAACGAGATTTTCTTTGCATTCTTATAGCATTTTTCCTCCGCTCCGTGACACGAACCAAAAACATTTCGCATGAACGGAAAGTAAATCGCGAACTGAAAAATGAAAGCTTTTCTTGCGCTCGAGCAAAAATAGGAAACAATGAAGCAGAACCGACGTTTTTCTTGTTTATTTTTTTTTCTATTCTTGCTCCGATTGCGAATGTGGAAGAGGGAGGCTGAATGAGGGCAAAAACACCAATTTTAATTGAAATAGTTTCCAAATAAAAATGAATTGGTAACAGGTCCATTTGAGGAAAATCATTTCAATAACCTTTTTACCCCTAGATTGTTCACGAAAATGTGATTTATATGTGGATATTTGACAGTAACCGTAAAATCGTTTAATTCAATTAGTAGAATAAACTTTGGCAAAACAAAACTCATAAATTTGTCTGTATTCCTCCTGTTCTGATGATTACATACGAGTATGGTATTTCATATGAACATTCGTTGAACAGTGACTGGCGCGTTGCACATGTTCGGCTACTTGTATTCATTGTACTTTGTATGTACTGATGTACTCATTTCAAAAGTGCTCATCATTCAATTTTATGTCTTCCCCTTCACCGCGATAAATTGCAGCGTGTTGCATTTCTAATTTTTAGCCGTAGCTTGTATTCAACGATCCTCTAAAGTGATTATGAATATGCATTTTTCAACGAATATCGTAAAGCAAAAGGAAAAATGCAACATAATCCATTTTGTATCGCTTCGCAAATATGTGTGCTTGCAGCTTGTGTGCTCCTTTTTTTCCTTTTCAAATATTTTTATGAGCACGAAACGTAAAGCATATTGTTCGCTTACAATATTTATGCGAATGCATACTACACATCTGTGCCGGTATTCTGGAACACAATCCGTAAAAATCATGCGGAATTATTTCAAACGTTCAGTTGGATTTTTAGAAGTGAAAGGGAGACGTTCAATTCAAAAATGTACATGGGATGATAATTGAACGTTATCTTTCCACTTCTAAAAATCCAATTGAACTTTCGAAATAATTCCGCATGATTTTTGCGGATTGTATTCCAGAATACCGGCACTGGGCTGGAGTACTTAGTCATTCCACTAAAATCGTTCGGAATTATTTTTTTCGTACGTAGTGATGGCTTCGAACGTTCGTTCGTTCGACAATTTTAAAAAATATTTTTTTGTTCGTTCGTTCGTTCGACATTCATTTTGTTCGATGTTCGGTCCGAACAAAGTTTTTTTTTATTTAAAAATCTCACGAATAAAATTGGTATTACTATGAAAAATTATAATAAAAGCTAATAAAAGCATGAGCTGTAACGATTACATTATAAATTTGATCAATACATCGAATTTTCTAATGTAAAAATTTTTTGAACAAAATGAATGTCGAACGAATGAACAAGCGTTCAAAAGTGTTCGACGGCCAACACTATTCGTACGTAAGACTATATTGGAGTGAAAGAGAGAGATTCCACTGATTTTCATCTTTCTACCGGAATTATTCCGATAACTCAAGGAAGGGTGATAGTTATCGCAATAATTTGGCTGGGATGATGAAAATTAGTGGAATGTCTCTCTTTCACTCCAGTATAGTCTTACGTACGAAAAAAAATTTGATTCCGAACGATTTTGGTGGAATGTCATAGAATTCCAGCCCTGGAACAAAAAAATAGAAGATTGAAGAGAAAAAACAGGGCATATCTGCGAACAATATACGTTACAATTTTGCGTTGCATACCATAATAAAATATGTTCATAAATTTTCGTGCGCATGTAAAATATAAAGATTTTTCACATCATCTCAGAATGCTAGTTTCATTTTTATGTTCAACAGATTTTCGATGCAGCTGTAATCATGAGACATAAATGAACATATTGAGTTGTGACGAATGATTTTTTCTTCCAGAAAACTCAAACCGATAAAATTTAGAGTTTGAAATATCATTGAAAACCGCTTTATGAATATTTCTTCTTTTTTTCATATTTCGTCGGTAACACAAATCATATTTTATTGCCTCTTACACCATACTCCGAGCATGTATATAAAGTTTCAATTCATTACATTTGGTACGGGCGTCTAACTCCATCTACGGATTTTTCCAGTAGTTGTGAATCGAGTAGGCATATAACGATTTCAACTATTTTTGGGCGAAATTATCTCAAAAATATACAAAAATGAGTTATTTGTTATGCGAACGCTCAAACGGCTACCGGAAATGTACGCGCAAATACACGCACTCGAGTGTATTGTAAATTTATCATCTAGTAACCATTGCATGTACACTGAATCAGTGCGTATATCAACAGTAGTCGTTTTAGCGTTCGCATGACAAATAACTCATTTTAGCATACTTTTGAGATAATTTCGCCCAAAAATAGTTGAAACCGCAACTCAAAAGAACGCAACTGCTGGAAAAATCTGTAGATGGAGTTAAACGTTTCAAACACGTCATGTTCTCGTTGTGTCTTACACAATTAAAGGACAATAATAAATTTAAATAAAATAGAATAATATCCGTCCGTATGTTCCATTATAACTTTGATTAATTTAATTCATGGATCAATTGTGAACCGGAGCCAGAAGTTGGATTGCCAGACATCATTGTGACACAATTGAGCCGGCGTCAATTGAAATCGGAACGTGTGTAACTGTGACCAAAACATAAAGCAGGTGAAGTGGTTGGAAATGCAGCAGAAAATTCAAATCAACAATTGAACAATCGGTTGCTGTCTAAGGTTAAAGTATACCGGAAAAACTGGCGATCAATCATTGAATGAAACGTTGAAACGGAGAATGCTGCTGCACAAGAAGAAGATGAAGCCACATACGTCGAAGATTGAACGCATCTTACTTTCGAAGAGGCGGAGGTCTATTCACAACAGAGCAACGCGTCAAGTCAGCGTCCAACAGGACTAAAAACAGTTTGGCATCGTGATACAGTGGCTGCAAAATGCATCTTATACAAAGGTAATATTTTGATTGGCATGTAAAGATGGAACAGAAAATGTTGTTATTATACATTGTTATTTGTGATTTCAGGTGTTTTTGAGCTGTTTAATGGATACACTCCCGATTTATTTCTACTGGATTGTGGGCTCCAAATACACTTCGATGGGTTCAATACATACGTGGCTGAGACGTAGTAGAACGCAGCAGCATTTTAGTTTTAACTTTGATTTTTCGATTTTGATAATAACTCATGTAACGTTAAGTTATTCTGCTGGGAGCTGACTTTGTGCCCTTGCCAAAGTACCTACCGCTGTGTCGGCTAATAATTTATAATTCCGACTTCTGTAGAGCATAGTTATTATTGTCAACTTACTAGTGTTATTGGTCATCACGTATATGGATTGACAATACATTCAAATTATCACACATAAACGTTGTTAATTTTACATCAACAGTTTTTTCAAGCTCGTAAATGAAAATTGAACGAATAGTGTTCATTACATTTAGAGCATGTAATTTTTAGGTTTGCACTACTCTCTGTCACATTTACGTTCAAATTAGTATGATGACAATAAATTAGTTTTTCCAATTAGTACATTTTCCCTGTACACACAAAATTCTATGTACTAATTTTGCTACAAATATGAGTCTACATTCCAACATAGAATGTAGAATGCTGTCAAAGGCAAGAGTCGTTTCATATTGTTTTTGTCACAACAATGGATGGTTACTATTCGATAGCTATATGCACACAAATACATTTTATAAAACTTTTTTTTCAAGCATATTTTTTTTTTGTTTCCATCATAGAATGTTCTCTTTACCATTCCAAATGTGCTTTTTTACATTGCATATGCAATGAATTTGAATGTAAAAACGTCTAAAAATTAATGGTGAAACTGGAGAATTGAGTTTATTCAAAAACTGGAAAGTGGGAGAGAGAAAACTTACTCTGTGGTTGTGTACAAGTGGAATTCCGTTTGAATAATGTGCAATCGTTGTGGTGGTTTTCCATTTTAAGGCGTTTACTAGCGACTGCTCATTTACTCCTGAAAAAATATAGCATGATGATAATAAATTCGTTTTTCCGATGTGTACATCTTCCTGGTTCGTACAAAATTCTATGTACTAATCTTGCTAAAAATATGAGTTGACATTTCGACATAAAGTAAAATGATGTCAAAGGCAAGAATCTTTCGATATTGTATCTGTTACAACAATGGATAGTAATATGAATTAAAATACCTGGACAGGGTAGGGTAACATTTTTGCCAGCTTCGGCAACAAAACTCTGGATTGGTATATTAGTTACATCTGTAAATGAAATAGTGAAAAATCCAAATTAATAATCAATTGAACAATATTTGTATATTAAATAAATGTGTTTCTACATCAGTGCAAAACGTATCCTTCAAACAGCGTATATTAAACTCGGTGTTTCATGGTGAGAATGCAAACATGTTTGTGTGGAATTTCATGTTCTTGATTCTCTTCGAAATAACGGACTATTGTGAATGTTGAAAATAGATTCAATTGTATATTTCTTTGCGGAATAAAATTCAAGTTTCCAATTTCTTTCAACACATAGACTATTCTCTTTTCATTCAGTGTACTATAAATTCATTCGTAAGCATTTTCCTAATTACCGCATAGCAAATACATACTACAAACTGTAAGAGAGAGTGGGGAATGGTGAAACGCACTTTTACCTAATTTAATGACATGCTAAAAAAATTAACATTTTTCCGAAATTTAAAGTCGTACCAATGATAAAATTTGCCTATGTTTTTAAGTGGAGCATGTGTTTAGGCTATATTTAAGCGATATCTTGGCGCTGAATGCTGAACTATGAAACTCCTATATAAATATACTGTCAACTATCAATGACAGCAACCAATGACAGCTACAATTGAACGTATTTGTATGGCAAAATACTTCCTACTTGCAGATGACGCCAAACCGAACGTCATTTTAGTCATTTTTCCCATTGGTCGTATGAGTAAAAATCAAACTTTTGGCACTTGTCGCTTGTTGAAATTCGAATTGCTTAAAAAATTTGCCATGTCTGCAAAAAAAACCCTTGATTTTTCGATTTTAAAAAATGGTGGGAAATTGTGAAACACTTCATAAATCGATAGAAAACTGAAACAATTTTGATGAAAAATGTTTATGGTGAGCTAGAAGACGATAAAAGAAATCATTTCAATAACGAATAATTCGAAAAGTAGCGATTGTTATTAGTCGGATTTGCAATTGTTGTCTGTGAAATAGCTGCCAATCATTTTTATGCATTTCAAGTGAACAGCTCGAGCGTATGAATTGCATTGAATAATTTGTCAAATTTTTGCAAGAAATGTAATAAATATGCATAAAATATGCGAATTTGACTTGAAAAATTGAAAAAAATTGCTTGACCAAATTTCCCCACAAAGTATGTTTTCCAATTCCCCACCCACTAAGGTTTGCAACTTGATCGCGTTTGGGCGACTCAATGAATGTTCGTGCAAAATTCCTTTTGTGAGTCGAAATATTAATGGTAAACGATAATTATAAACATATTCAACTGAGTTGATTCTTCAAAAAATGTTGTGAAATCAATGCAAACATGAACGGTGAATAAAAATATTTGGAACCTCATTTTCAAAAAGTTCTCACAGAGATCTAACGTTACAAGCACACGCATTGAGTGATATTGGAAAAAAGAGTTTATACTAAGACAAGACTATGACAGTTTTTTGAATGTGCCAAACATTTCGAATTGCTGGGAAGTTTTACCATACCCCACTCTCCCCTATATATTCGTTGTCATTTAGCGTGTGACATTTTTGGCAAACATATAATTCTAATGCAACGTCGTGGCTTATTTATTACACTTGGCATTTTGTCATGAATTCCAGCATTTTTTATAAGGTATCAAACGAGAAGGAAGTGCTTGTGAATCGAGACACCATAGACACACGTGTGCTCCAAAATATGTGCCAACATATCTTCAAAATGGTAACGTATTGCTATTACCACATTTTTATGAATATAAATAATTTTGAAGTGAAAAATTGTACATTAGAATCTACATTCTTCTGTTAAGTTTGAGTACTATTGGAAGTCATTCAAAAAATAAATCAAAGAATCCAGAATATTTTATCTTACAAAATATCTTGCTTCGAAACAACCGAGCGAAGATAATGTTCAAGTGTAAATAAATATTGAAATCCACTAAAAATTCAGTGGGCGCTTTTTTTGCATTTATTTTCCCATAAATCCATGTATGTAGTATTTGCTTGGTTTAGTTATTAGGGGAACATTTGATACAAACTGTAATGCCGAAACAATTACCAAACGAGCAAGTTTTCCATTATTAGCCATGTTTGTGGTTGATAGCTCCAAATTTCAGTGGTTTATTGTTGTTATTTCTACGTTATATATATGAAACATAAAATAAAATAGACTTATAATTGACATTACAAGTAAAAACATTGGAGCTTTAGCCAATGATACCTTCCACTGTTTTTCTGTTCAGCCATTCAATCGTTCTGAAGCGAAAATGATTTAGTTATTATGTGTTATACGCGACACATCGTTTCAATAATCTATCATTAGAACAATAGGCCATACTCTGAGCATGTATATGGAGTTTCAATACATTAGATTCGGTGTGAACATTTAACTCTTTCCAGTAGTTGTGTTTTAGTGAGTAATATTACCTAGACTGAATATAGCGGTTTCAACTACTTTTGGGTGAAATTATCTCAAAAGTAAACTGCAATGAGTTATTTGTTATGCGAACGCTCAAACGGCCACTGTTGATGTGCGCGCAAATACACGCACTCGAGTGTGTTGTAGATTTGTCATCCAGTAGCCATTGAATGTCTGTGGATTACTGAATTAGTCCGTAAATCAACAATGGCCGTTTGAGCGTTCGCATAACAAATGACTCATTGAAATTTTGAGATAATTTCGCCCGAAAGTAGTTGAAACTGCTATATTGAGTCTAGGTAATATCACTCGCTAAAACACAACTACTGGAAAGAGTTCTAGATGGAGTTAGATGTTATATTAATGTCATATTCTCTTTGTGCAATAGACTTATTAAAGGAAAAGTAAAAGCAATAATATAAACCGATATAATTTGATGGAAAAAAAAATCGTAAAATCATTTCAATTTATAACATAAATCGGGACATGATGTGCCATGACCATTTAGAAGCCCTAAGATGACGATAATTCGAAAACTACGTCCACTATGACTACGCAACAAATTTATTACATCACATTGTTGCTGAGCGAAGAGAGCTTTTGTTAGCATGGATTGTACACGAGAATGTGTTGTGAAAGCGCTTTCATACATGTCACCCACAAACACACGACGAAAAATATTAAAAATAATTTATAGTCTAAACTTCTGTTCATATCATTGCATATTGTTCATTGTAATTGTGATTACGAGGTTTTTTTTACCAGGCATCTGTTTGCTATGATCGTTTCAATTGGTGGTACTACTGCTGCTGCTATGGTTGTTGTATTGATGAAGGGATTCAAAAAGCCCCTCTTTTTCGCTCATTGGCTTGTGTATACATAGCTAGCGAACTCAACACATTCAAACCTATCGTCATGTTGAATTAGAAGTTGATTGTGGATTTATGGACTGAAATTGACGGTCGCTACTATTTGAAATATTAAATGATTTATGCGTAGATATTCACCAAGCATTTTTTTCAGTGAAAATATCTAAAAAAAAAAAAACGAAAAACAAAAGGAGGCGATCGAAAATGGTTCGTATAAAATGCCTACGTTTAATGCTCATACTATTTCGCAATAAGTCAGTGCAGCGATATTTATCCAAACCCTAAATGGGTGCAAGTAATATAATTCACGGCCACTAAATTTGGCACTGACATTTTTCATGATTAATTTATCACATTCATTCTCGAAATCATCAATAACAGATGCCGAACGTTCTAAGGTGTTCGTTCCTTGAAAGTACTATAATAATATCGCCTGAATGCACTACTTCACACCAGAAAATCCCTTTTATGTGTGTAAATTCATAATTTGTAGCGGATCTACAATATTAGATCTAAGCATAGAAATCAATTCAACTTTTTACTACTTATGTAGCCAATTATCTACCATCACATGTTTCGATGTTTCAAAATGTAGAAAACTTATTTGCCAAAAACACCGACTATATATTACGACGAGCCACAAGACAGTAAAACTTGTTAGTTCGCATTATGTCAATAGATTATTTTAAATGAAGTAAATTCTTTATATCAACATTTGCATCTTAAGCATCGGCTTCAATCATAATTTAGTGACAGCTCGATACTCTTTACTACATGTTTGTGAAGTTGATATGATTTTTGGGTGGAAAGTGCATTTTATGACGGTATAAATTACACGTTGAGTTTTGTATTTTTTTTCTTATCCATAAATATAAACTGTGAATAACTTCATTTGAAATGGTTATGCTAGTGTTAACAATCGTATTTGTAGCCACATAATGTTTAGCCGAGTGATAGCTGATGGGATTTTCATTTGTATCCTCATCAATTGAGAGTTAACCTTGATAACAGTTTTGAGAATTTTTCATAGAACATTTCGAAATCGCAAAAATTTGGATAGTGAATAGTTATTGTTTTTTTGCATGTTCTAAACTGTTGCATGCTACTGTCCCAAGAGAAACGAGATCATTTGCACCATTACAGCATCCATTCTATGCAAGAATGAGCCTTTAATTCGGCTCACTGTTTCATTTTCATACGTTGTGAATTTGTTTTGTGCGCGTGATAGCTGCTTTCACTTCATGCATTGCAATGTCAATCAAATTTAAATGGTAGCAAAACAATGTGAAACTATAAAAAAAAATATCGCGTTCTTGGATGTACGTTGAATTTTTCTATCGCAATTCACAAGAGATTTATTCTTGTTTGTGTTTTATCGTGTCTGTTGGAAATTTATTTCCTCTGATTGCTTCTTTTTTTTCATTCGTTTGGTTAATTTATGTTGGCATGTGTCCGATACTGAGAAGCCTTATGCAAAAAGTTGGGAAAGTTTAAAAAATATGCGAATCTTCTGCAATAGCTGATAAAGCTATTCACGTGTTTGGTTTTAATTTATTTTATTTTATGTGTGAGAGGGGGCGTCGTGAGCTAGCTGAACTCAAGTCTCAGTTCAAATTTTTTTTTTTCGCCATATGATACAAGTTAGCCATAAAGAAAGCATTGTATAAGCCATCCTTGTGCGAAAGAAATGCTTGCATCGCAGTCAAATTAGAACGAAAAGTGTATTATACGTTGGTGTTACTTTTATGGAAC